CCCCAGCTGTGGTGCCACTACAAATCCCATGATGCATTGCAAGACTCTGACCGCCACAGGCATGACTCTCAGAGGCAGATGCATGCTGGGATTTGTAGTCCCACCCCTGTTTTAGCACTCAGTGGCTCCTATTATCGCTGTAGAATTCCCGCAGTGACTTGTGTACATTCGGAGTCCCTCCATCGCTCACTCAGTGTGTACACAGTGCGGAATCTCAGTGTTTGCGCTCAGCTGCGGCCCAGCCCGGCCTCACCTTTGTCCCATGACCCAGTTACATACACATACGTGTCTTTATTCTCTGCACGCATCTCACGGAACGTTCCAAAGGGTCCCCCCGGTGCCATAAAGTCCATCGTCATAGATCAACAGATGATACTAGAATCCCTCCGCCGGGACAACATTTAGGGGTCGCCACCTTTTCTTCAAGCGAAACCCGAACACTCTAGCGACGCGCTGACATTTTTGGGGGGAGAATGAGGACGCGGCTTATTCATATGTAAATATCACAGTTGAGACTATTTTCGGTGGGAGGGTCAGTAGTAGCCCCTAACTTAATTTTGGTTGCCCCCGTCTGCCTGACATCTTGTGTCCGGGTTTCTGCCGCCATTAAACCCAGACACGGCTTTCAAAACCCGGACTGTCCGGGTGAATCCGGGACAGGTGGCAACCCCAACAACACTGGAGACCCGACATGTATGTGGGGAGATTGCAGCATGTGACGAGGATTGTACATGGCTTTGTATGTGGGGCGGCAAGGACTGCAGATATTGCATGGCATTGGTCAGTGTCACAGAGGTCAGATACCCCGTGTCACGTGACCAGCAAGCATTGTGCAAGACAAAACGGTCACTGTTCAGTCCCGGGAAACACTGGAACATTGTGTATCACATACCCCATGGCTGCTGCAAACCAGAGACTGAGAGGACATTTCAGTCTCAGCTGTCAGTGTGCCCCTCTGTATATAGTGTCTGCCTCAGCTGTCAGTGTGCCCCTCTGTATATAGTGTCTGCCTCAGCTGTCAGTGTGCCCCTCTGTATATAGTGTCAGTGTGCCCCTCTGTATATAGTGTCAGTCTCAGAAGTCAGTGTGCCCCTCTGTATATAGTGTCAGTCTCAGCAGTCAGTGTGCCCCTCTGTATGTAGTGTCGGTCTCAGCTGTCAGTGTGCCCCTCTGTATATAGTATCAGTGTCAGCTGTCAGTGTGCCCCTCTGTATATAGTGTCGGTCTCAGCTGTCAGTGTGCCCCTCTGTATGCACAGCCCTCACCTGCACACAGGCCGGCCAGCAGCAGGCAGCACAGCGCAGCTCCTCCGCTCTTCATCTCCTCTCCGGGGTGACTGACGGCTGCAACTGCTGAGCGCTGCATATGCCCCGGACTGGGCTGATCCTGGCTGCTGATTGGCTGCTGAGGCTGTCACTCACCGGCTGAGTACAATCCTTGTCCATATCAGGATAGCATGGAAGATTTCTCCGATAGAGAAGTGTACAATGTCCAGGAGGGAGGAGGACCTGTCACTGTGCACCCCTCCCCCTCTCCTGTGTGATATCAGTGCCGCCCAATGAAGGAAACCCCATTCTCCTCCCCCCCCATCAGTCCGCACAGTGCATGAGTCCCCGGGTCTGTACATCCTCATTATGAGGAGCTCCCCCCATCCCTGTGCTGAGTTCCCGGGTCTGTACACCCGCTGTGCCCATTATGAGGGGCTCCCACCATCCCTGTGCTGAGTTCCCGGGTCTGTACACCCGCTGTGCCCATTATGAGGGGTTCTCTCCCAGCAGCCGGAAGGGGTTTCCTCGGTTCAGCCGACTCCCCCCCTATACCATTCTTGGGTGATGATTGGCTGGGAGTCGGAGAGTTGGGCGGCGGCCAGGCCCATGCTGCGAGATCACATTGCAGTTCTATTCAGTGTTCTGTGTAACCTTCCCACCATCAGGGGCCCCGCTGGAGATATTCGGTCACATGAGCTGGTATGGTGGGAATTGGGGGCCACTCTGGGCCCCGGGGTGAAATAAACAACACAGCATGGAAATCACAACTACAATTTCCATCCATACAGACGATGCCGAGATATTAGAAGTGGAAATTCTATGACTTTGGTGTATTTTATTTGTATCGTCAGGAGCCGGAAATATCCCCAGATGGTGGCAGAGTGAGCTCAGTCTCCCCTCCCCCAGTGATCAGTCTGCTGCAGGCAGGAGGAAGCGTTCCCTCAGTCTCCCATCCCCCAGTGCCTCCCCCGAGTGATCAGTCTGCTGCAGGCAGGGGGAAGCATTTCCTCAGTCTCCCCTCCCCGGAGTGATCAGTCTGCTGCATGCAGGGGGAAGCATTTCCTCAGTCTCCCATTATGAGGTGATCCCCTCCCCCAGTGATCAGTCTGCTGCAGGCAGGAGGAAGCGTTCCCTCAGTCTCCCATCCCCCAGTGCCTCCCCCGAGTGATCAGTCTGCTGCAGGCAGGAGGAAGCATTCCCTCAGTCTCCCCTCCGCCCAGTGATCAGTCTGCTGCAGGCAGGAGGAAGCGTTCCCTCAGTCTCCCATCCCCCAGTGCCTCCCCCGAGTGATCAGTCTGCTGCAGGCAGGAGGAAGCATTCCCTCAGTCTCCCCTCCGCCCAGTGATCAGTCTGCTGCAGGCAGGAGGAAGCGTTCCCTCAGTCTCCGCTCCCCCAGTGATCAGTCTGCTGCAGGCAGGATGAAGCATTTTCTCAGTCTCCCCTCCCCCAGTGATCAGTCTGCTGCAGGCAGGAGGAAGCATTTCCTCAGTCTCCCCTCCCCCAGTGATCAGTCTGCTGCAGGCAGGAGGAAGCATTTCCTCAGTCTCCCCTCCCCCAGTGATCAGTCTGCTGCAGGCAGGAGGAAGCATTTCCTCAGTCTCCCCTCCCCCAGTGATCAGTCTGCTGCAGGCAGGAGGAAGCATTTCCTCAGTCTCCCCTCCCCCAGTGATCAGTCTGCTGCAGGCAGGAGGAAGCATTTCCTCAGTCTCCCCTCCCCCAGTGATCAGTCTGCTGCAGGCAGGAGGAAGCATTTCCTCAGTCTCCCCTCCCCCAGTGATCAGTCTGCTGCAGGCAGGAGGAAGCATTTCCTCAGTCTCCCCTCCCCCAGTGATCAGTCTGCTGCAGGCAGGAGGAAGCATTTCCTCAGTCTCCCCTCCCCCAGTGATCAGTCTGCTGCAGGCAGGAGGAAGCATTTCCTCAGTCTCCCCTCCCCCAGTGATCAGTCTGCTGCAGGCAGGAGGAAGCATTTCCTCAGTCTCCCCTCCCCCAGTGATCAGTCTGCTGCAGGCAGGAGGAAGCATTTCCTCAGTCTCCCCTCCCCCAGTGATCAGTCTGCTGCAGGCAGGAGGAAGCATTTCCTCAGTCTCCCCTCCCCCAGTGATCAGTCTGCTGCAGGCAGGAGGAAGCATTTCCTCAGTCTCCCCTCCCCCAGTGATCAGTCTGCTGCAGGCAGGAGGAAGCATTTCCTCAGTCTCCCCTCCCCCAGTGATCAGTCTGCTGCAGGCAGGAGGAAGCATTTCCTCAGTCTCCCCTCCCCCAGTGATCAGTCTGCTGCAGGCAGGAGGAAGCATTTCCTCAGTCTCCCCTCCCCCAGTGATCAGTCTGCTGCAGGCAGGAGGAAGCATTTCCTCAGTCTCCCCTCCCCCAGTGATCAGTCTGCTGCAGGCAGGAGGAAGCATTTCCTCAGTCTCCCCTCCCCCAGTGATCAGTCTGCTGCAGGCAGGAGGAAGCATTTCCTCAGTCTCCCCTCCCCCAGTGATCAGTCTGCTGCAGGCAGGAGGAAGCATTTCCTCAGTCTCCCCTCCCCCAGTGATCAGTCTGCTGCAGGCAGGAGGAAGCATTTCCTCAGTCTCCCCTCCCCCAGTGATCAGTCTGCTGCAGGCAGGAGGAAGCATTTCCTCAGTCTCCCCTCCCCCAGTGATCAGTCTGCTGCAGGCAGGAGGAAGCATTTCCTCAGTCTCCCCTCCCCCAGTGATCAGTCTGCTGCAGGCAGGAGGAAGCATTTCCTCAGTCTCCCCTCCCCCAGTGATCAGTCTGCTGCAGGCAGGAGGAAGCATTTCCTCAGTCTCCCCTCCCCCAGTGATCAGTCTGCTGCAGGCAGGAGGAAGCATTTCCTCAGTCTCCCCTCCCCCAGTGATCAGTCTGCTGCAGGCAGGAGGAAGCATTTCCTCAGTCTCCCCTCCCCCAGTGATTAGTCTGCTGCAGGCAGGAGGAAGCGTTCCCTCAGTCTCCCCTCCCCCCAGTGATCAGTCTGCAACATTAGAACTTTGTCTCCAGTCACAAGGTGAGAGTCTGCCGCAGGGGCTGATCTGTTTCAGACGTTTGTAAACACAGCCAGGAACTGCACAGCAGTGGCGTAACCAGAGTTATGGGCGCCCGGGGCAGAACATTTTGTTTGCCCCCCCTCCCATATTATATAAACATCCACTAGAACTGTACCCCCCACCCCCACACATATATGTTTTTTATTAACACTTTAGTGTGCAGTTGGTTCACATAGACCGAGCGCAACATATTTGCTTTACATTTGTTCACCTATACACATTGTTGCGGCTGGTCCAATCAGGTAGTTAGGCACGCATTCCCAGCGCAGTGATTTCTGTGATACACATAAGGGCATTGTCAGGGGAAGTCATGTGATCTCTGTGAGAGGGAATATCTGGAGGGGTCACATGACACATTACCCAGCATGCTGTATTGAACATGACAGCATATCTCTGATGACAGGTCCTCTTTACTGAGGTTGGCATGGGGCTGACACCGGAGCCTCTCCTCCTGAGGACGTTCTGTTTATGTTGTCAGACAATTGAAGGTGATTCCTGGTCATTACCATATATGGTCGATGATGTCACTGAGGATCCCCGCGTGTTTGTATACATTGTATCAGCCGGGATCTGTCATGAGAG